CTGGGTGTAGGACTGCTGCTGCTGGTAGTTGCCGGGCTGGGTGGGATCCGAGTCTTCCACATGCCCGTCCTCATAGCCCCCCTCCTCCTCCCTCGCCTCTGTCGTGGATGATATTGAGCATCTCCCTGTCCGCATCGTACGCCGGCTCCCCCGCTCTCGGCATTGCAGCAAACAACGCGGGGGCACTCATCTGCTCTCCGCCCGTCGTCCTCGCCCGGACGAGCGACGTCGTAGAATCCTCGGAGAAGAGTGGCGCTGTGTTAACATCGACGATGTAAGGAACCGTACCGGCGGGGTTTTGCGAGTTGCTTGGCGGTGTAGTAGTATGGACGCTTGTAAGGCTCCGGCCACATTGCCCTTTGTACCGTGGGGGCGCCCGTCTGGTGGCGTCCACCACGGCCTCACCGACCGCCCCGTCCGACACGCCCACCAAGCCCACCGGCGCCCAGACCCTTCGTCATCTCCTCCTCCTTTGCAGCCTTCGCTTTGACGCGACGATTTTGCCGCATCTCCGAGCTGATCTTCCGAGCGAGCATGATGCTCGGATCCTCCGACACCTCCGCCGACTCCATCTCCAACGGGTTCCGTGCGTCGGCGGCAAAGGGAAGGAGAGGGTGAGAGAAAAGAGCGGGAATTGGCGAAGAGCGGCAGGGAGTGGAAGAAGAGAGTGGGGGATTTTGGCGTGAAAACAGTGTGGGATGCTACAAAGGTGCGGGCTCGGCCTTCCTTTTGGATGGGCCATGGGGGTAGAGAGAGAGAGAGAGAGTACATATGGTGTAGGCCAGTTGAATGCGCCAATGCGGTATGTCCTGGTACCAAATGTTGCGTACACAGGGCACTGTATCAGATGCTCCCGTGGTACGAGCTCATGGGCCGTTGGATCTCGGATACAGCGGCATCTGAATCAGAGAAGCTACCGTAGGGCACCTGAGCACTTCGGTTGAGCAACCTAATGGACGGTGTGTGTTATATTGTTTTACCACTGGAAGATGTGTTTCTTCGTTCCTTTTACAACCGCCCAGAAACACGTTTGGACGATGGTTCTTCGTGCCTGGCAAATGAGAATCAAACTCTTTTAAGTGTTGGTTTTCAGTGCCAGAGCACGAGCAGACGTTGCATGTTACTATTAATGTAGTCGCTGAACCGAATGCAATGGAATAGAGTAGAGCTGTCCGACACTGGAATGAACAAAGTTTTCTCTCCAAATTATCTACTACTCCCTCCGTCCAAAAATACTTGTCGAAGGAATGGATGTATCTAGACGCAATTTAGTTCTAAATACACTCATTTTCATCCATTTCTCCGACAAGTATTTCCGGACGGAGGAAGTATTTATCTATCGATGTGCCCACCGCCAATGTAATAAGCGGCCGTTTTCTTGTGGATCCACTACCTATGCACAGCACAGCCACCTGCTAACTTTTCAAGTCCCTGCTCTGAAGAAAATCACAGCGGCTCAAATCAATCACTGTCTGAATATTGCATCCGGCGCAGCACTTGCTGATTCGAGTCGCTCTCCTTCCCCGTAGCAGCGTTGGTTCGGTAACTTGAGCCCTGCAAGGATGCAACTTGAGTTGAGCAGCCAGTGCTTCAAAGCAAAAGTTGAGACCTTCCATCTGTTAACAAAATTATTAAGCGTGAAGCCTGCTGTTGTCTCGACAGTCTCTGCGCCATGACTCAAAACGCACGACTCTCCCAACATTGCCTTGCCTGCAGAGCATCTTCATCATTAATTTGGCCTGTGTACATGGAGTAATGGAACGCCAGAATGCAAGTGGACATATGTCCCTTCCCGTGGAGCTTCAAACACTGAACATCACTCACTACGAAGGTTGGAAGTACCCAGATTGGATGGCGGGTAAGCAGAACGGTGGCCCAAAGGACCTGCAAAAGACTTCATCTCTCGTGTTGGAGCCAACGTTAAACTTGAGGCTTTCCCTCGTCTTCATATACTCAATCTTTTTGGCTGCAGCTGGGACACCTTACCCGGCAATATGGAGCACCTCACATCGCCGAAGGATCTGAGCATCGGTCTTCCAACACTGCCATGGTCTCTTGAGGTGTTTAAACTGTTTTTCTGCAATTGGGATTTCATGAAGCCTTGTAGAACAGTAGAACATCCAGCCTGGATAAAGATTGAGCAGATCCCGAAGAAGAGAGTCAACCGTGATTCAAGTAAGACTTTAGCCCCATTTACTGCCTTTCTGTAATCACAGTTTGTCACTAATTACTGCGATGTGAGATGTTGCTAACTCTGCCTGTGTATGTCTGTTGGGCTGATATATAATCTCACGAGAAGTTTCTTCCGATGACACTGACACGCTTTAGGCCTAAAGAAGGGAATGTGCAGTCAGCAACTCAGCACGAAGATGCATTGTTTACTGTTAGAAGGAGATAAAATAGGTTTAAACATGTACAACTCATCCTCTACTCCAAATCTCTCTCCCTCATATGTACTTCTATATATAGCCTACACATGGGTGAGATCAACAACAAATATTAACATCCTATAATTTCTACATTTACAACTTGAGATCGCAAGCCAAAGTGTC